CATGAGGGCATATCGCAGAGAGACCGGTGAAATGAGACTGGCTGTCCAGTAAGGGCACCGCGGAAAGTTGTGCCCCTTGCTGACAGGGGCATGCAGGAGCGCTCAGAGGCCCCAGGGGCAGCTCAGAGGCCCCAGGGGCACCACAGGGTAAGCGGAACCCTCAGAGGCCCCAGGGGCACGACAGGGTAAGTGGGCCATCGGAGGGGCGCGAAGAAAAATAATGAAAATTACAGGGGCACTAGACAAATTTATCCAAGAAAGAAACAAAGAACGAAAAAGAATCTATTAGACAGACATAGCAGCACACTACAGCAGCCCAACGTTTGGCCCTTCACTTGCCTAGCCTGGAAACTGCCTCCAAGCCCGGAAAAAAAAAAGGGAACCTGTGCGGGCCTTCATCTGGCATCTGCAAGCGTCCATTTTGCTCCAGTAGGTTATGTCACAAAAGTGTGTCTACCCAAACAGGAAAAACAGTGCGGCAGGTCCCCAGATCACTTTTGGTGTCAGTTTTGCACCCTGGCTGCGCCGGTAATGACCGCTGTGTTAAAGTGGAGGGGAAGTGTTTTGCTGGGTGCAAAAATGACACCTAAAGCGATTTTTGGGCCTGCGGCACCTTTTCCCCCGCTTAGGGGGAACTGGATACAAAAGTTTCGTCGCGGGGATGTTTAATGACTTTTCCCAAAACAATCAAGCCCCCAAGGCCCCACCAGGGCCACCACAGCAGCATCAGGCACTGAGGTCGAAAACGTAAGAAAAGAATAGCTGCAGCTAGCATAAAGCGCGTATGTCATAACTTGTCAGGCCGTGGTGTGCACACAGCCTGGGTTGAAAAAAAGGCAAAAGAAATTTCCCACTGACACAAAGACCTTTTCGGTTTYGGCCACCCAAAATTTTCGGGCTGGGTAAAAAGCGCYGGAAAATGAATCTGGTGCAGATAGAGCACCATGTTCAGGATCCGGTGGGAAGAAGCCCAGCGGTTGGGCCCCAGTCTCTCTGCCKCCAGATTTCTGCATAGGACGGCCTCTTTTGCCCGCACRTGCTTYTTACCAAGCSGGAAAATTTTGGGCGTCCAACACCAAATAGGTTTTCGCARAGGTGCTTTCCACCMATTATCCCAGACWTGTCACTACTTTTACGGAAATTGCCTCCTCAAACTCGGCACCTGATTTTGTTACGGGMGCGTGCTTTTTTTTTTTTTTTGGCCCTTTTGAAACTCGAAATGTGATGCGACCACACACTTGTTTCCACCAAAACTCCAACGCGGGAYGGCATTGGTCCCAAAATCAGCCGCAGGAGTCCGGGGCTGGAGTTGGGAGGACWGGACTGTGCTGAGTAGAGCTTWAAAAACTGCGATTTCGTCARCACAAACAGTCCAGATACATCCAGGGGCTACCCAAAATTTCATCAAATTTTGGCTGCAGTTTGGATTTTCAATTCCRTACAAAAAATAAAAAATGTCCGTTTTGACGAAGTCSCTGTTTCAGAGTTGTGTCCACTCAACCCAGGTCTGCACTTCAACAGTTCACTTGTGTACAGGCTGAGCTATGCCAGTGCATTGTCTGATCAACTGCATATGTGTATATCCACAGCTTGAAACAGCATTCAGCATCACATGTGGGTGCAATATGGTGCTGCTTGCAGGTGAACAAGGAACTCTGCAGGTGGAAAAGGATCTTGGCTGCTACTGGCCCCCCCTGGCGCTATGTTTCCATCAGGAAAGCATGTAGGGATAATTGGTGGAAAGAGCCCACGCCGAAACCTTTTTTTGTTTCACGCACCCAAACTTTTCCCATTTGGCAAGAGCAGCCTACCGGAAAATGAATCTAGCGGGGGAGGAAGGGGGCAAGCTGTACGGCTCAACCTGCAGATTTCAACATCCTATGGCCTGTGTACCCCGGGGGCCGTTCTTGCCAAACGGGAAAAGTTTAAGGATAATTGGTAGAAAGCGCCCACGCCAAAACCTTTTCGGTTTTGGGCACCCGAAACTCGGCTGTTTGGTGCTACGGGTTCAAAAATCTTCAGCCTGGGTGAAAGGCGCGGCGTGGCCACAAATCCCTGGGCCTGTTTCAACCAGTTCAAGAATTTGGCGCTGTTTTTGCACCAGATTCGTGAACCGGTAGGGCCCTTCTTTTCAAAATACCGGCTGCGCCAGGCTTTCACGTCTATCTTAGGAGGTATTTGGCGGCATTTTTGACAAGTTTATAATCATTTGGCCGCTTCGGTGGCATTTCGGGAAATTGGGACTTGCCCTCTCTTCTCTCTCTCTCTCTCTCTCTCTCTCTCTCTCTCTCTCTCTCTCTCTCTCTCTCTCTCTCTCTCTCTCTCTCTCTCTGATGAGGCTTATTGCTGACACAATTGATTGCTTTGGTAGACTGTCGTCTCACCCCTCATTCTATACTTCAGCGGTACCACCCTCGGCCTCTTTTACATCAAAAAATGAATCTGTGGCACTGTTATRAGCCCGAYTCATSATCCGGTAGGGCCCTTGGAGCGACGYGTGGGCCTGTGTACCCCACATGGAAGTCATTGGGCCGGTAGTACCAAATGACCGAGTTTAGGGCGCCTAAACCGAAAAGATTTTGGCGTGGAACAGCAATTTCGTCAAAACGGACATTTTATATTTTTTGAACAAAATTTAAATTGTCATTTCCGTGGTGATTTAGGGTCAAAAATGCATTTGAATTTGGGGTATGGGTATACATGCAAGGGTAAGGGGTGAGGGGTAAGGGGTAAGGGGTAAGGGGTTTGGGGGTAAGGGATAAGGGGTAAAAGACAAGGGGTAAGGGGCAGGGACCTGGAGCAATGTTTGTCATCTTCTATACACTGTTTCCATGACAAACAATTTAATGTTACCCACATCCATCCGCATGTAATCACAATATCCAGCAGCAGGTTCATACTACTCACGAGCCACTGTGTCCAAAGCCATTCGACGAAGTATTGGCAATGCGGGTATGTCATCAGCGGTGAAAGAGAAAGGCGGAAGGTGACCCCTTGCCAATAGTGATGCGTATGCGAGCATGAAGACCCCGCACGAGCTAGTGTCACGTTGTTTCAGGACGCCCTCTACGGTCCATATGTGATTAAACGGTTTCGTGTCCACCTCTTTGCCTTACTGAATCGATCTTTCAAACAAAAACTTTGCAAATCCGCCGGTCACTTTGGCTGCCAGTTCTTTGTCGGGGCTGAGGGAGTCGTAAAATTCAAATTTCCTCCTCCTGAAGTCAGCCACAACGAGGGTCCAGTGGTTCGTGTGTGCGATATGGAAAGGGGCAATTATCAAGTCCATGTCACTTATTATGATGTCATTCGACCAGTGCTGCACCTCTCGCTCTTGATATCTCATTTCGCTGTCGAAAAGTTTGGCGAAGAAAAACGAGTTCAACACTGATATTCTAGGAATGCGACCCTTTCCGATTCTAATCACGGTTTCGTTCTCGGCGTCGCATTCTACGTGTGTGATTCTACACCAGTTGTCTAGTGCGATGAGGTTCAGGTAGAAGTTGACGACGTTGTCATTTAACCAATCCCGCTCGTCGACTAGTGAAATAAATTTGTCTCGAGTTAGCTTCAATTCTTCGTTCGTCCCGTGATTGTGTGTGCTCGCTATTGGGAACCTTTTCCCGTACTCCCGGCATACATGTGAGAGTGCTTTCATCTCCTTCTCTGATAAAGACGATGCTGCGAGGCGCATTGTCCACCCTCTTTTGCACTTTCCTGTATCCGTTGTTGTAATTTGCACTGCACACGACAAGCACGACGAATACGACATCCACGGGGTTGTAAACAACGGTGACCGAGGCAGACAGGGGTGTAAAAAATGGTCGCCCTTACAGGAAAGTAAGAAACGGGTGGGCAGGCGGTGTAAAAAACAGGGAGGGAATAAAGTTGAGATACTTGTACATGGGCAAGTGCCTTAGCATAACATGCTAAACGGAAATGATGTATTCAAGATACGTCATCAATGTTTCGCTAAACTTACATTTAGATGAACGACATTGATGTTCGCGACCAATCAATCCTGACTCCTGCCCCCGTTCATCACCGTACCCCAACGACATACATGCATATACACAACGCTGCATATCGACGAATATAGAGAGACACACACGCATACTACGACACACTCTTGTTCACCACATAATTTTCTTGTCAACAATTAAAAGGCCAAATCCCAAAAATTGAACACTAACGAGTCTTCATGTCGATTGTATACAGGAACACATTCCGCCCACAAACCTAGATTTCAAACAAATGAGCACACACACGAAAACATTAAATTTCCCCGCGAAGAGGATTCCCCTCAAGTTCATTCCCTGTCTCACCCCTCATTTTCTGCACGTGTGGGATCGCTCACGCCCTTTCCGCCTTTTACCCCATCCTCATCGTCCGTCGTCATGTCCTCAATATTGTGAAAACAGTGGGACCCCCCTGCATGTCGTACCTTTGACGTCGCTCGGCGGCCTGTCCAAGCGTTTCCATGACCCGGGGATGAGCTCGATGTCCTCCCAACGGTACAATTGACGCAAGACATCGCTTTGCACATTCTGCGGTGCAAAGAAGAAGAGGACCCAATTTGGACCAGAACACTTCGCCATCATTGTGTACAGTGCATCGAAGTCCTGCGAGGTCCATGCATTGCTGAAATTCGCGGCCGAGATGTCCACGATGGCGGTCCTGCATGCCATTTTTTGTGCGGCGACGACGATGTCGACGGGCGCCGCCATAACCTCCTTTGACCGCATGCATACATGAAGCAATGTGGTCTGCCTGCCGAGTTTGTCCCACACAAGATGGCATGCACTGAAGGCGATCCGTTTCACCTCAGCTCGAAGCATATCGAGCTTATCGATCGCGGTGTATATAAAGACATTGAAGTGAAACGGAGCCTCATTGTACATCACTTCTATATGCCCCAAGCCCGCACCTTGCCTTGCCTCCTCCACTCCTCCAAGTCGCCGAGGGATCGTCTTCACTAAGTTGCTATGCAGCTTCTCTCGTTCCTTCTCCCATTCATATGCGCATAGCCCGTTTGAAGCATACCTCTCTTCCAAGTCCTTGTACGACATGAAGAAGTCGTCGTTCCATTCGTCCTCTACCCTTCCCTCGGCGTGAAACACGGCGTAGTTGAACATGCGGACCATGTATCTCTCCTTGCGCATAATGTCGAGGAGGCACTCTGTGTTCACCCTCGGAGGTGTGACTCTCACTTTTGTTGCCACCACTTTCCCCGACATGAGCAGGAGTAGCACGACTTCTCTCTCACGGCATGTCATGTCCCCGAAGTTCTTGAAGTACGTAGGACACAAATCCTTCCAGAACACAGTGGAGCCGTTGGGACCATCTCTCGCATATATGCAGTGGTACAAAGTCCGTTGTCCCTTGTTCTCGTCAGTGTACGGGACGGGCAGGCGCCCTTCCATCCTCCCCGACATCTCAAGTGGGATCTTGCCGTCGCCGATTGGCAGCTTACCCTCCTCGAACATCGCGAAGAACTTCTCCACCAGCGGCCAAACCGTGCGGGTGGACGTGGCGAGGTTCAGGTACCCCTGGAGTTTGTTACTCCAATCCTTGCTGTCTTTGTTGTCGAGTGTCTGTTTCACGAACGCCTTGTCACACGCTTTCCCCATGCAGGCCCTCAGAAATTTCTGCCACTTTTTCTGATGTGCAACGGCGACGGCATCTTTCTCACTGACCTTAGCTTTGGGTGCCTCGACCCTGTTGTTGTCGATCCACCATTGCCTCATATCACGCACAACGTCCTGGAAGGATAACATCATGGCGCGATTCTCCCGTGTGTTGTCGAGGAGGGAGACGTTGAAGTACCCGTGTGTGTGGTCATCATCGAAAAAGACGAGTCGCACTTTAGACTACGCGCGGAGGCCATAGACTTTGACCGCGGGGGAGTCCTTTGCAACCAACCGTTTCATGGCCTTGGCAGTATGCTGACCGCAGACAGCGTATCAGTCGAACTCTGCAAAGTCTCTTTGAAAGAACTCGTCTGGCGTAATTCGCCTTCCCTGCCCGCCAACGATGACGTTGGGGTCAACCGGAGCAAGAACGAGCTCAGGTCTATCCCACACCCCCGGATCAGCACTTATGGAGCTTTCTGTGGCACTCTCGATGCCTCTCACAATGTTCTCAGACAACGAACGGTGGTTCAAAATGATCCTCCCACAGGGAATGGGTTTGATCCTATTATCGTCGACGTTAACAACATGGACGTCTTGCCTGGCGAAGCCATGTTCGTCGTATTCGAGGAAGAAACATCGTGTCGTGTCGAGGGGTGCGGCGTGCTGAACCAGCTCTTCAATGTCTTCGGGCATGCGAGGCCCCACCTCCTCTCCCTCATCCCTTGAGTCCCGCAGCTCAGGTGCCCTGGACCTCTGCGAGTCTTTCCTACCGCCGCCGCGACTGCCCCCACGACTGCCACTTCGCCCCCCCTAACCAGTTTTTCGAGGAGCCCGCACTTCCTGTGATGCCGTCAACGCTCCGCAAGCTTCATTGACGGCGTCGGCTCTCGCCTGTTTTGTTCGAGTCGCAAGAGAGGTCGACGCCTCTCCCCTCTTTCGCTTTCCCCGTGATCCAGGTTCGTCTCTCCCATCCTTCGTCTGGTCATAGGACTGCGACATTCCGCGGGAGGCCATAGGCTGGCCACCAGCATTGACCGCGTCACCGACGCGGCAGGCGTCGTCCTCACGGCGCCCCCGCGATTCGTTCAGGTGGCGACGGTGAAATTAGGAGAAGCGATTGTCTTCGACTTCCTCACCAACATCGTCTCGCTCCTCGTCCATGCCATCATCCTCACCTTCAATATCTCCTTCGTTACCGTCGTCCCCCTCACCACCGCCCTCCTCCTCCTCACCACCGCCCTCCCCCTCCTCACCACCGCTCTCCCCATCCGAACCACCGCCCTCCCCATCGTGGGCCTCACATTTGTCGTCATCGAAGGCACCTGCACCTCCCGGGGAACGATGCTGGGAACCAGCCCGATAGCGCACAGCTCCGTCGTCGTAGTCTGTGGCCTCGCTGGACTGCTCGGCCGCATCGCGACCTCGGCGATCCGAGGGCGGAACCGGAGCAGGCAGAGCCTGGACAACCGCAACCGACGAAGACGGGCAGTCGGCAATTGCTTCCTCTTTCCAACCGCTCTAGCCGGCTGATCCTGGCGCCGTTTGGGGCCCGCGTCAATCGGCACGAAAACACAGTCAACTCGCTGGGCAGCAGGCAGCCTCGCGAACTCTTCCTTGTATCGCATAACGAAAGCTGCGAGTTGGTCCGTCGGGCTGTTGAATTGGACCAAAGGCCTGCTGAGCATGAAAGCGTTGTCGACGACAGGCAGGGACCCAGTCACGCGGTAGCCATTGGTTTTGGAAAGAAACTTTTCTGGATCCAGCATTTGGAACTCTGTTCCGTTCCCGTGCACGTCAAACGCTTTCATCGACAAAGCCTTGACCCCGTATCCTTGGAAGAGCCGATGGTCAAGAGACACCTTCTTATCTTCCTTGACCCACTTTTTCCCCTCTCTGTCATAGACAGACGTAAGGAAGAAGGTCCTGAACTTCCTGCCATCGTAGGTAAACCTCCCTGCTTCCGATTTCTCCACCCCTCCGCAGCAGTACCAACTCAGGCCATTGTCATCACTCAAGAAGACAACGGCTCCGCAACCCGGCGTATGAAGGCCACCGACCCAATCAAGAGCCCATGGTTTGTCGTGGTAGAGCTTAGACCTGCCGTATGACCGTTTTTCGGGGGCAGAGCCAGACGCTGATTTTCCTTAAGGGTCGCACAGAAAAAGAGAACAAGAAAACAGAAGAAGCATTCGTCGCGGCATGGTAGTTTCGCTACCGCCCCACGCAGCGAATCCGGCGTTCCTAGAACGCCGGACCCCACGACAGTTGTGTGTGCGGGTCTGGCGTCCCCAAAATAGCAGACCCCACCAGCGTGCCTGTCGGCACGGGGTTGGCCGGACCCCTCCCTCGCCCGCATCCTCGAGGGGGTCCGACGTCCTGGGAACGCCGGCCCCCTCGGCGTTTCATCTCCGTCCCTCCCCCTCCCTCTAGCAGCACCGAGGGGGGTCCGGCGTTCCCTGAATGCCGGACCCGTCCCTCCCCTGCCCTCTCGCAGCACCGATGGGGATCCGTCCCTTCCCCTCGATGGCCATAGCACGAAGGGGGTCCAGCGTTCCCGGAACGCCGGACCCCCTTGGTGCTGCGGGGGAGGATGGGGGTCCGTATCACCCCCTCGATGCCCACGGCACCAAGGGGGTCTGGCGTTCCCGGAGCACCGGACCCTCTTTGTGCTGGGGGGGAGGAAGGGGGTCCCTCCCATCGCCTCGATGGCCACAGCACCAAGGGGGTCCGCGTTCCCGGAACGCTGGACCCCCTTGGTGCTGCGGGGGAGGAAGGGGTCCGTCCCGCCCCCCTCGATGACTACAGCACCAAGGGGGTCCGGCGTTCCCGGAACGCCGGACCCCCTTTGTGCTGCGGGGGAGGAAGGGGGTCCGTCCCTTCCCCTTGATGGCCCGCAGCACCAAGGGGGTCCGGCATTCCCGGAACGCTGGACCCCGTTGGCGCAGCGGGGGAGGAAGGGGGTCCGTCCCGCCCCCCTCGATGGCCACAGCACCAGGGGGGTCCGGCGTTCCCGTCGCGCCCCCTCGCTGGGCCAGAACAGCGAGAGCGGCCGGCGTTCCGGGAATGCCGGACCCCCCTTGGTGATGCGGAGAGGAAGGGGTTCTGTCCTGCCACCTCTCTCTCTCTCTCTCTCTCTCTCTCTCTCTCTCTCTCTCTCTCTCTCTCTCTCTCTCTCTCTCTCTCTCTCTCTCTCCCTCTCCCTCTCGTTGGGGAGAGGGAGATCAACCCCCCCCCCTCCCCTATGAGATCACACTGCAGACGTGGCATTGAAGACCTCCTGAAATCGCATTTCGTTTTTTTCAAGCAATACAAACTCTGGAATTCGAAAAAAAAAAAGGGGAGAGGGAGATCAACCCCCCTCCCCTATCAGATCACACTGCAGACGTGGCATTGAAAACATTTTCCCGAAATCGCATTTCTTTCTTTTCAAGCAATATACACTGTGGAATTCAAAAAAAAAAAAGGGAGAGGGAGACCAACCCCCCTCCCCTATGAGATCACACTGCAGACGTGGCATTGAAGACCTTTTCCTARAATCACATTTCGTCTTTTTCAAGCAAAACGCACCGTGGAGTTCAGAAAAACAAAGGGGAGAGGGAGATCAACCCCCCCTCCCCTTTGCGATCACACTGCAAACGTGGCATTGAAGACCTTTTCCCGAAATCACATTTCGTTTTTTTCAAGCAATGTAAACTGTGGATTTCAAAAAAAAAAAAAAGGGAGAGGGAGATCAACCCCCCTCCCCTATGAGATCACACAGCAAACGTGGCATTGAAGACCTTTTCCCGAAATCGCATTTCGTTTTTTTCAAGCAATATAAATTGTGGAATTCGAAAAAAAAAAGGGGAGAGGGAGGTCGACCCCCCCTCCCCTTTGTGATGACACTGCAAACGTGGCATTGAAGACCTTTTCCTGAAATCGCATTTCGTTTTTTCAAGCAATATAAACTGTGGATTTCAAAAAACAAAAAGGGGAGAGGGAGATCAACCCCCCTCTCCTATGAGATCACACAGCAAACGTGGCATTGAAGACATTTTCCCGAAATCGCATTTCGTTTTTTTCAAGCAATATAAATTGTGGAATTCGAAAAAAAAAAAGGGGAGAGGGAGATCAACCCCCCTCCTSTATGAGATCACACTGCAGACGTGGCATTGAAGACCTTTTCCCGAAATCGCATTTCGTTTTTTCAAGCAATACGAACTGTGGAATTCGAAAAAAAAAAAAGGGCAGAGGGAGATCAACTCCCCCTCCCCTATGAGATCGCAGATCACACCTTTCGTCGCCATGGTCGGACCGTGAGCTGCACGGAGTCGATTGCAGATCTCTCTCTCTCTCTCTCTCTCTCTCTCTCTCTCTCTCTC